TTGTTGACCAAGCATCACAGCAAGGGGGGTATTGGCTTTCAATCCACTCCTGTGTCACCTCAAGCCATGTCTCACCTTGAACTGGCATCTGACTGTGCACATGGCTCTGTGTGTTCCAGCTGTCCTTGAAGTTGTCCGTCCTCACGAAGTTGATGTTGCCCTCTCCTCATCACAGAACACCGACCTTCGCTGTCCAGTGAAGGCCTCATAGGTAAAGAACCTTGGCGCCGTTGCCGTCGACGGAGTGTACAAGATCCTCCGAGGGGCATAGTGGTCTCTGCAGATCCATCCATTGATGTGGCCAAAACGCCACTCATCCGTCAGTCGACGATGGAGTCTGCTTGGGCTTCTGAGAGGTTCTCGAAGTCCTGAAAGAGGAAGTCGAATGCACTCGAAGCGACTGGCAGGCAGCTCCGGCATGTGCAAGTCCGCCATGAAGACCTCAGACTGTTTGCCACTAGCCACCTGGTCAATGAAGTCGACATACTCCGTCTCCATAACCTCACTGACATAGCTCACTGGCGCTCCCATCTTTTCTCGCATTCGACGGGCTTTCATCAGTGCATCACGAACAGCTAGACGTGCACCACTCTTCATGTCCTTGAATGCAGCCTTCCTCAGGGTGCCAACTGAGAGCCTCACAGCGTCTGATCGTCGGTCTCGTTCAGCTGGTAGAACTGAGGAGTGAGTACCCAACCGTCCTGAGCTGAACGGGTGTGGGGGTTGAAGTGGGCGAAGTGGCCCTGCCCATCCGCCCTCATCTGGAGTCCCCAAGGCACTGGGTGAGGAGGAACCGCAGTCGGGACTGCTGCAGTTGGTCCTGTTGGTACTGATGCTGCTGTTGTGATCCCAAGCTGACTGTGGCGTCCGGGGTCGTCGACGCCGTCTTGGTTCTGGCTCGCCTGTGGGCTGGAGCCATGGGCTTTCCCCATCACTGCGTCCACCAGCGGCTTGATCTTCGCCTTCAGCTGCTCGATGGTGTCCTTGGGATCCACGACCACGTTCAACAGCGCCGCCAACTTCACCAGGTCCCCCTTCGTTCGGGGCATTCCTCCTCGGGGTCCGAGAAGCTCCCGGGCGAGATCTTCTTTCCGGCCATCCAGCTCTGCGATGGCTTGGTGAGTTGCCTGAACTAGCGCGGCTTGCTGACGAGCTCGGGTTGGCTTCTTCAGAGCCTTGATTCCGAACATCACCGCCTCGTCCTCCATGAAGGCTTCCTCCAGTCCCATCCTCTGCCGAAGAACCTTGGCCTCGTTGAGGTGGACCAGGGTCATGTACTCCATCGCCTTCGGTAGGCAGCGCTTCGGCCACACATGCCGTTTCACCATGTCCTTCAGCTGAGCTTTCCACTCCTCCGAAGTTGTCACCACTGGCAAGGGCACCGGCATGTAGCGAAGGAAAGGTCGCTGAACCAGCCAAAGCATCACGCCCTTCCAATGCCATGTTCTCCTCGCCTGTAGTCGAAGTAGGAAGCGCTGCCATCGCGACACCAGTGGGGTGAGGACGTCGAAAGGGCTGGGCAGCATCTTCCTCAGGCATCCAGGCCTTGCTTGAGCTGAAGAACTCCGGGATGTAGTGCACATACATGTTCAAGTTCAGCATCACTCGAACGGTCGACAAGACGATTGCGTGCTTTCCATGAAACTCGACCTTCACATTGCACCTCACAACAACCTCCAACTCCTACGACATGCCACGACTGCGAAGTGAGCGTCGGCCACGAAGTGAGGGGCTTGGGGAGAAGGTTCATGGAAAAGTGTCCTGCCCTCATCTTGCTCAGGGGAATCCAACCATCACTGACATACCTCAGTTGCACCTTCTTGGAGGGAAAGTCCAAAGTAGCCCCTAAGCTCTCTAAGAAGTCCTTCCCAAGCAAGCACCCCAGTGAAGCACATGGGATCTCCGCCAACCAGAGGAGGACCACTTGGTTTTGCACCAGGACAGGAATCCTCAGCCTTCTTAGGCTTTCCAAGACACCGCCATTGCCAAACCTGAAGTAGTCTCGGCAAGGCTTCTCATCAACCAAGCTCCTGATGTGTTCCTCCAAGGCGTCCTTCATGTGAGCCAGCCACTCAGCTCCGGCGCAACTCCGATTACATGCGGAGTCCAAAGCCGCCACAAAGAGCTTGTCCGGGTCAAGGCCCACTGCACCGGCTGTGCTTGTCGAAAGAGCCTCAGACAAAGAGGAAACCACATGGATCTCGTGAATGGTAGGCTCCAAGTCAAAGGAAACATTCTGGGTCTGTGCCAACAAGTCAACCACATTCACCTCAGCACAGTGTGCGCTTCACTCCTGTAGTTCGAGGACTTTGGTGAAGTAGTCGATGAGGAAGTTCCAGGCTTCTGCATTGGTCTTGGGAACTTTGGCATCGTTCCTTTGCCAATGCTTTTGCCAGCTGCAGGGCATTCAGCATCACCTTGCCAGTGACCAGTCTGACCACAAGCAAAACACTTGCCATCCTTTTGGCTTGAGCCCGAACCTTTCTTACCACGACCTTTGCCTCCCTTGAAGCCAGTCGAACCAGGTCCACGAAAACCACGATCTCGCTTGAGAGCATTGATTTGCGACCTCGCTTCACGAAGGGTCACCAACGCCTCAACTGCACCTTCCACTTGCTCCTCTATGGCTGCAAGGTCATCATCGGCTTGTGAACCCTCAGCCAACTCATCGATCTCTGTCGCAAGGGCCTCAATGGTCTGTTGAAGTCCTTCCAAGCCAGCTAGGCTTTCAGCATCTGTCGCACCACCGTCATCCTCTTCAGCTGGAGGTTCTCCTTCCGCTTCAAAGGCCTCGTTCTCAGCCGTCACCTCGTCGTCATACTCAGTGACGTTGATCGAGCCACCAAAGCCTTTTCCGCCACGCCTCCAGGAAGGGGTAGAAGACGATGTAGTCGAAGGGAAACTCTTCCGAAACCTGGACAAAGTAGAAGCCGTCAAAGAAGGAGGTCGTTTAACGAAGCTCCCATGTCCGCCTTCGCGGTGTTGGCTTCCATGCCCATGGCCAGGTCCAAAATGGACTCTCTTGAAGAGACGAACTGCCTCTCGTTCGCAGGCTCCATAGTCCTCGGTCTCGACGCCAAGGGTGGTCTCCAACATCTGTCGTTGAAGCTCGGAGAGAGCAAGCTTTTGCTTGAAGAACCATGCCTGCTCGCTAGGGTCCACAGTGATTCCTTCGGCCTTCATCTCACCGATCAAGGTCCTGTACCGAAGAGCGAAATTCGGCACACTCTCACTGCCACCTCGACGAAGCTGCAAGTAGTACTTCTCCCGAAGCTCACCCTTGCGGTCTGTCTGTGACCTCCCAACCATGTCATCCCAGGAGGCCAAAATCTTCTGGATTCCGGCGTCGTAGACCGCGGGTGAAATCTCGATCATCTCATCGGTCTCATCATCCTTCACCCTTTCAGCTGGAGTGTATTCAAGTTCCTTCGGGTCGAACTCCAGCGCACGTAGCTTTGCACTTCCTTTCTGCCTCATTGCAAAGCGGGCAGCCAGGTTGTAGGAAGTGGTCTTCTCTAGGTCGATTGAGTGTAGCCACCACTGGACGGATTTCTTGAACTCTCGAAGCGTCTCGCTCCGTCCATCCCAGACCGGTATGTAGCTATCAAAGCCTCGGTCATCCTTCTTCTCATCACTCATCTTCTCCGTCTCGATGTCCACGATGAAGTGGTCCGCCACCAGGCAACCTTCAATCCCTCAAAAGGGAGAGGCTTTACGCCACCAGGAAGTCCGTGTCCAGGTCGTCCGCGTTGTAGCTCAGACGTAGTCCAGACCACGAAGTCGAAGTCGTCCAAAAGCCAGGCCAGCACGGCCAAGTTGGGCGAAGCAGCCCAACACGCAAGAAGTTGAGGCCAGCAGGCCAAAGGCAAAGTCCGTCAGCACGAAGAAGACGTTCAAGCTCTAGCGAAGTCCACGCAGGGCAGCGCTATGGCGCAAGGGTCGACAGCTCCGCTACCACTGTTAAACAGCGGAGGTTCAACTACACCTAAACAAGGGGTAAAGAACGCTCGCAGACTGTTTTGCACGGAGCCAGAATGCTCAAGGGCCCTGCGGCACCAACAGTGAAACAAGTCCGAGGGTCATGACTGCCTTTTCACAAAATCTCATACACAATATATAATACATATAACTGCCACACTTCCCCCGTAGCACGCCAAGACCGGTCCCCCTGCGGAATTATAAAGTTATTCGGGAGGGCAACGTTCTTTCTCATTCCATGGTATGCTCCAGTCTTTTGTCATCCTTTCTTCACGTTTCCTCTTGGGCGATCTGTCAAGTTGAGCAAACCTTCACGTGAAGGGTTCAGTACATATATATTGGATGTGCATGCTGGATTGTCATCTTGCCCAAATATTGCACATAAATTGAAACACGTTAATGATACGCCAGGGTCACCCCTGATCAATTTAGCTAAGGGACCCAGTGTGTGAAATCCTTTGCCCAAGCTGAGCCAGCTGATCGGTACATATGCCAAACCCATGAGTCGTGTCTACCGGTGACCAAGGTCGGCGACCCAAAAGGGTGCGTTCCGGGCGTTTCTCTTTAAGCAAAGGACCAATTCCCGAACCATCCGTGGGACTAAAACCCATTTATATACCTATACTGATACTGTTTTACCTACATTGACCCTGACAACATCTCAAAACCATCATAATTGTTTGTGCATATGTAGTAATTATATTCATATTCCATGCATGGATTACACGACCAAAGGGGATGGAAGGCCGTGGGAGGTGACACAACTGCTGCAAAAGGAAGGCTTCACACATCGAGCCTCCAAAGCAATGACTTGCAAGGAGAGTGCAACAAGAACACAACTAAAAACACACTGTTTGGGCGCAGTTTTGTGCCCAAGAAGTTTCAGTTGACCTCGGATGAATCATATCATGTCCCACGGAATTGGTCAAACGTCTTGAAACCATCTTGGTGGTTTCTTCGACCCAGCTTCGGTGGCTTTTCATCACGTTTCCCCCATCTCAGGGATCCTCCCACGCTCGGACCTGAAGCCATTGGACCTGCAAGCTGCTACGTCGGACCAAGGTCAGCTCGCGACCCGAGCCTCAGCAGTGGGCAGGTCACCTGGTCCTGAACACCTCATGTTTGTGGTGTTTTTGTATGATCGCCTCCACTGACATGAGGTCAGTTACTGAATTGTAGTGTAGGGTTTTCATCTGACGGTCAAAAGCTGAAACCTGGTCAGAGAGGGAGATATGATTGACTATACTTGCATGGGTCCACCGGTTTGTTAAAAGAAGAGCCGTTTAAGTGCGGAATAAATGCCGTTTCAGAGAGTCATTTCAAACCTCCATTCTCTTCAACACAAGAACTCAAAACAAACGCTGCTGAAATGTTGCACACCATTTCAGGAAAGCTCGAAAGCGCAGCCGATCATTTTGCATACTGAGGAAAAATGCAGGTATCATTATCATAGCTATCGAACGATTAAGTGGGCTCATCATTCATCGATCAGGAGCTTTCACCCTGTGAGGAGGTTCATATTGGTTTCCAATCACATCCACAGCTGGAGCGCTTGGGTCTGCCTGCATTGACGGAGGCCCCATAGAACATGGTCCAGCGATCCTAGCATCCCTTTAAAGTGACAAAAAGGATCAAAAAGGTCCCGTGGTCGACTCTTTTTTGGGGCTGAATCTTCAGAAATGCCAACATTCGCAGTATACAGCATCGTGCAGGACCAAAATGGAACTGGGGATTCTGCGGGTAGGACATCAATCCGTTTGGCGCCTAGAGCTTTTATAAAAGGTGAGGATCAGGCTTCCATGACAAACATTGTTGGTTTTTGAATGACAACTCGACGTTCCGGTTTTTCAATGGAAGATCCACATTAATGGAAAACAGTTGTTCAATGAACAGGTCTGACTGGCCTTTCAATGAATCACCGGCGGTCTTTGAACCCAAGCTATATAAGATCTTGCAAATTCACAGAACTTCACACGACTCAACAGGTCTTCACAGGGTTTTCAACTGGTACAAAATCAATATGTGGGAAAATCGAAACATCGATAGGCCCGATAGGCTTCCAGGCAGAAAAAACAATATGGGTGTTCAAAAGAGAAACCGGTTTTGCGTTTGAGACATACGATATGACAGGGATCCTCCGTTTGGCAGGGCACAAAAGTGCCACGGATCACGGAAAGGTTAGCCAACGAGCCTATGTGCCGCAGCCTGGCTGTGCAGCCTTTTTGCGCACCTACCGCGGTCCACGTTTCATCACAAACTCGCACATCCGTATACCTCCCGCGGTCGGACCGTTTCTCGCTGTGGGCTCGCGCTGTTCAGGAGCTGCTCCGTGGAGAAGAGCTCCGTGGAGTTCAGGAAAAGGCGCTGCTCCACCGCAGCGATGCTGCAGTGCTCCTGGAGGATTCGCCGGTGGAAGGGACCGACGAAACGGGTATGACTGAAGTGGAGACGTCACGTGCGGCATGCCGTGATCTGGCAAGTTGAAGGTGCTGGTAGGTGGCCCCAGGTGTGTTCCTTTCTCCAGTGATCGCCGGCATGAAGTGATTTGCTGGCTGCTTCAAATCGGCGAAGCGTCCCAAACAATGGGCTGGTTTGCTCAAGTCACTGGCACCATCTTGCACCTTCGAGTCCAAAGCCGTATTTACAAAGGTATAGTTGCTTTGTGTAACTGGTCAGTGGCTGCCTACATAAAGGATTTTGCTAGTTTGGTCTTCCTCTACATTGATATATAAGTACAATCACCGATTGGATGACCCAATGCAGTTCTTGTCATCTCGGTCGCGGCAAGGTAACAGCAACAACACCAACAACTTAACAGTCGTGCACATTTCTATACACTGAGTTGCTGCAGTGCACTACCAGAGTCCTAAGCTCTGCAAAAGAAGAAGGTCTCCTCAATGGTCGTCTTGAGATCTTGCACGCTGAGCCTTGTCAATCGGACGGGCGCCAAAGATCCGGTAAGAAGGGCACGGCGCCGCAGCGAGGATAGGTAGTTTGCCTTTGGAAGGAACAGCCTGAAGAGTTGTGTCAAATCGGGACATGGAGGATTTTTTAAAGATCCATTGGTTGCGGGGCCGCATTCTAGATGCAAAGCCAGTTGAGTCCTTCTGTTCATTGGTCGAATCAAGGAATCCCGAAAAATGGCTCCAAAGACCTATTGCGGCCAGTCCCAAACAGGTCGATGCGACCTGGGTCCATAGGGTATGTGCAAGCTGCTTCCGACCTTAAACATCATAATCCCAGATGCTCCATGTATGGAATATTTACCTACATTGACACCTGAAACCACCCCAATGTATGTAAATATGTCATACATGGAGTGTCTGGGAACTACATATCTCAGGATCACTCTTTCCGACCACCCAATCTTCGGATGAATCACCACTGTTCCACCACCGTCGAAGTGCCAGTTAACGGCAAGGCAGGCAGGCTGACAAGAACACTGCGACCCCCACGTGCGACCCCCAGTGTCCTTGAGCAAAGAGCACTGCCATGATTTGAGAAAACCGCTGCAACAAAAGGTTGCTATCTTCCACTGTCAGACGTGACCCTTTGATACTCCCAAGTGTCCAGGAGGTCACTTGAACAATCGATCATTCGATGTATCCTTGACCCACCGCACCATACCGCACCCATTTCCGTTCCAGACCTCAGCCGCCGCTCCCACCCTTCCGGACCTCTGTCGGCGGTTGAGGTGGAGATGGCAGAGATGTCCTGCTAGACCATTGACCTCGACCTCCAAGAATTCGGGCTCCATCGCTGGGAATCTCGGAGAATCTCATCGGCGCGTGAAAAACGGGGGCGAGGAACGAGGGGTTGGTGGACTTGGATGTACTTGGTGGATTGAGAGTAGATGGCACAGACCCCAATGTCAGTGGTTTATATGGACCCCCATCTTAACTGCAGGGTCGAGGTCGTCGCCCCGCCTGTCCGCTTGGGACCCCGTGTTGCGGCAACCCAGGGCCGACACATGAGGGATGCGTCACATAAGGTGTACTTGGTGGACGTTTCAGGTGGCCTTTCGATGCCTCAAAGAATTGGTTCCAAACGAATTAAATGGTTCCAAAAAAACAACGCCGCAACAAGTGGAAACCGTGGACACAGTGATGTTCGATTTTTTTCCTGAAGATTGGATCTCATCTGCTCATGGAAGGACACCCAACAGCAACACCGCCACCCCGGCCGGGAATGGCTCTGTGAGCCAGGACTGACGGCGAAGTGAACCAAAGCACCTGGACGAGCCTTGACTCCACTTCAAACGCCCCGGTCACAGCAGGGGGGGCCAACACGAGGAAGCAAAGAGTTCATCACCAGGGTGGTGGGGCTGGATGTGCCCTGACAGCACTAAACAACATCGACTATGATGGTCTATACATATATATATATATATACATTGCGCAAGTTTGATTCCAACCACCTTATTATATATTGGCCTTGTGTTTCACAAATCTGTCAAGAATCATGAGACATTGAGATCAACATCAGTATCGCAAGGGGTGCTTCTTTCAAAATGCAGCTGGAGAAAGATTGAAGAGTTCATACCCAAACGCCAAACACCCCATTAAATCCATTGGGACTGGCATATCAATCTATAATATATTTATATATTTATGCAACAACATACTATTTCATTCATGGACCCTTGCAAGACAATTTAAACAAAGTTGACCTGGTTGGTCTCAACTCCTTCAAACAAGCCGTTAAAAAGTAGTTCAAACCCTTGAATCAATGGCAGGCCTAGGGTTGCCGAGGGTGGAGTCTGTGGTACAACATGCAGTTCATCCACGGCATGCTCCATCGGTGCTCAATCGATGAGGCATCACCATGACATCAAGCGACACCGAAACCATCCATGGGACTGGAAGAGCTACCTATAATGTTAACTTACAGTGTTACATGATGTAGACTCTTGATTCACACGTTTGAATCCATTTGGATTGTGATGTCAAACCTCTTCATATGAAGCCGAATGAAGAAATACACACCAAGAGTCTACATGGCCTTAGGTCATCGTGCAAATGTCTGATGGTCTGTGACAGGTGAACCTGCAGGGCACTCACAACTGGAACCGCACCGTGCAGCTCAGTCCGCCGTCGAAACCGTCCCGGGCTCGGTGCCACGCCACCGGTCTCTGCTGGTCGTCATGTCGGTGGAACCCGTCCCCGGGCGCCCGGGCACCGGCCACGTCCCGGGCAACCAACGGAAGTCGAAGCATCGAAGGATCTGAGGACACTCCTGGTGGGGTCACTCCCACAACATGCAAGTACCGCGTCAAGGAGTTGTACCAGGCATCTCAAAAAACACATCCAGCTCCCCTTGTGTTCTCAAGAGATTGCGGCTAATGCACATGCTCCCCTGAAGGCTTGAGTAAACCCATCGGAAGGATGGTGACCTTGCTGGGCCATTTGGCCAGCCTGAAAAAGGAGGACCGGGAGAGACCTCAGGGAGGGGGAAAGCGGAGGGACTGGCTGCACCAAGTGATCACCGAAGAAAGCTCTCCTGGCTGAGGGTCATCAAGAGCTCAGCCTCCTCTTGTGCCTTGTCTGAGGCCACCTGATCAAGGGTCAACAAGGGCAAAGGGTCCATAGTGGTGTCGTCTTCTGTTTATGAAAGGTTGTTCCACCATGTTGTTCACACACCATGAAGCTCATCCCAGGCAAAGCAACCATTGATAAAGCGCAATCATGACCAACATTCATGCGTTCAAAGTCTATTCTCGCACAAAACCAGGTCAGGTTGCACTCAAAAGGGTGAAGAATCCCAGTGCTGCATGGGGTGAAGAATGCCAGTTCCAACAACTTCAGGGCGCAGAATGCCAGTGTAGCATGGCTTGCAGCTTGAAGAATCCCAGTTCCAGGTGGGAATTCTCCCAGATTGATTGAACAAGCTTGGCAACTCTATCTTCTTCAGCGTCCGAGGGAGCGCCCTTAATCGACGCGCCGCGACGAAGAGTCGCTCGCGCCTCAGAGAGCTGACCCACGAGCGGTGCCTATCCGAGCGCAACGCCCCGACTTCAGTGACTGTCAGTCTTGGTGCAGCTTCCTATAAGGAAGTACTGAAGGACGGGACCTGCAGGGTACTTGGAGGGGGGGTTTTGCACAGGACAGCAGAATGGCGGCCCTGTGGAAGCAATCTGTCCATCAGTCAGTACCCCGGTGGATGCCATGTGTGGGAGACAACTCAGTTGCAGCTTGTGAATGTTGCAACTCAAGGCCTGCAATATGGCTGTTGCAAGCAATTTTAGGCGACAACATGAACATACGAGTATCAGTATTATTCTGCATAGACAATGATGAATGTTGTTATAAAGAGAGAGAGTGTGTGTGTGTGTCACGTAAAGTTCAAACCCCCAAATCAAATGGCCGTCATTGGCTCACATGTTCATATACACCTACCAAGGAAACAAAAGAATGAAACTACAGAGTATGCTATATATATATATATATGTCTTTTTTTCAGGGGTTGATGTTGTCGCGGATTGTTTTAGCAATGACACCGTTGTTGAGATGTTGCATCCAACAGGGTCCCAGTTGATTTCAACGATTTCACCCACACCGAAAGGGGCCACCGTTCCCCGTCGGAACACCGGCCCGTGACTTCAAAACAAGCTGCGCGCTTCAGTGCCACCAGTTGAGACGACAAAGCCTTGGTCCCACCGAATCGGTCCCGAGCAAGTTCAGACATGTGGAGACTCAAGGGGATTCTGGGATGAGGGTGAGACATCATCCGAATCCTGGCGGAGAACAAAAATCGCTTGATAGGTCCAATTACCTTCTCAGAAGGTCTGTGGATCCATACAGTGACACGACCTGGCAGGATTTAGAGCCATCGATCCACACATGGCCCGGGGCGTACGAACCCCACCTCGATGCAACGAATCGCCACGTGGCCCGGGTGTCACGAACCCTCGCAGCAAGTACCTCGCAGTACCGCACGCCCTGGAGAAAGGAAGTTACGGCCCCGTAGACCGACTCGGACGACCAGGAGGTCCGAAGATCAAACAGGACGACCATGGCGCGGCCCCCTTGGGGACACAATGGAGGAAGCAATGGAAGCGGCGGTTTGGAGCGTGCCAGGTTTGGAGCGAAGTTCTGCCCACGACTTTCTTATATAGCATGCTTGGACATAAATAGTAGCCATGGGATTCCGTACCTGGACCTCGCCCCGTGCACCGTCGAAGACCCGCAAGATCTGAGATTTATGCAGCGGGATCTGGAAGAGTTACACTTACCTCCATGATCCTCCATGAACATGATTCTTGATGCCTGCACACTTCTTCTCGGGCAGTCATTTTGGCAGAAATTAGTATGTGCTTAGGCGTTCTTGCCCCCTGCGTAATTATTCTTCTATGCATGGATGGTCTGGAACTATACATTCCATGCTCCGTGCAAGACGGTCCGACCAGAGTTGTCCTCGCATTGGCACACACTTTCTCGAGAAGGGCTTTCGGGCCTTGCGTGGTGAAAACCCCGTCGCCGCATCTTTCTTTGGCCGGAGCGAATTCACCGGCAGGCGGCTTGATGCTATGGTCTTGGATGGGCAAGCTCAGGTCGTGGGTGTGCAGTGTTCCAACACGCGCACGCCGCTCCCGCGGCGTGCTTAAACCCGACTCATCAGCAACGGGCAAAAGCCTGCAAAAGCCGTTACTTGCTTCCCAATAGAGCTTGAGTTACTTACTCTCAGTTAGGATCCGTCCCATTTGAGTTACTTGCTCTTTTGTTCCAAGAAGCGAAACCTGAACTGGCACGGATCCTATGCTGAGCTAGGATTCGGATGCGGAGCCAGTAGCTCATCATTCGATTCAACAACAAAGGATACATCCAACAACATCCGCAGCACCTCGTGCCCATTATTGCCCATACCAAGTGTGAGACGAGACCGGCACGTGCCGGTTTTTCTTGAGGTGGGTGACTTACGCCCAAGTTCTTCACATCCCTGTGATCATCGAAATGAAGTATCTTCACCTTGATTCATTAATTTCATCTTTGCAGCTTCGCGAGCTTCACCAGGCATGCTGGCATTTTGTTGCCACTAAACGTCTGTGAGACCTTTGTACAAAAGAAGCTCCTGGGACGTGGCGTCTGTGGCTCAGGGGTCTTCGGGCCAACGATCACATAAGGGTGGATGGCCAAAGATCTGGCATGTATGCAGCGTATGCATGATACAGGGGGGCAAGAGACCCACATAGAACCCGAAAAGACCGAAGGCGATTTTTCCCTTACGACCCGACGTGGTTTTCAGGTTCCATGTGGGTCTTGGATCTCCAAAAAGCATCCCCACCACTCAGCCCTGCTTGGGCAGGTTCTTGTTTGGTGATTCGTTTCTCCAACATGGCCAACAGGGGCAGTCGAAAAGGAACTAGTGTGGTGGGTTAGGCCGGGCTAGGTTAGGCTCGGTCGGAGATGATTTGACAGCATCCTTTGGTTTGTGACTGATCCACTGCGACTGCGACTGCTCTCATGCAAATGCTCACGCCTGCTAGTTGATCCACACAAACACATCCTTTAAAGCACATCTTTGGACAATTTGGCAACATTGCCCAGAAAAAAAAGAGACACTATCGCAAGGCCCTTCTTTCGTGTCTGCCTTCGTCAAGAAGACCATCCATGTATGAAATATAGGTATACCTACATGTGGGCCATGTATGATCCCTACCAATTACCTAGGGGGGGGCGTCACCTAATTGTAAGTTACAATTTCCTAGGTTTGATACCTCAAAAATTGTAACTTACAATTACTAAACCACCTCAAAAATTG